TGGTAGGATCGGATGGCCATGTTGAAATCTTAGAGTGCTTTTTCCTTTTCTCCTTGTTCATCTAATAAAACCCCTTATGATATATCTAAGTGATAGACCTCGGTTATAATATGCAGTAGAATAATTTCGGTTTAATTAGATGGCCATGTTGTAGTCTTGGAGTGCTTTTTCTTTTTCTCCATTTTCACGGATTAATACTCCTAATTAAATAACTAGACATCATACCTCGGTTATAATATGCAGTAGCATAATTTGGATTTAATTTGATGGCCTAGTTGAAGTCTTGGAGTGCTTTTTCCTTTTCTCCTATTTCGCCAAATAAAGCTCCTAACTTTAAAACTATATGATATACCTCGGTTGATATATGCATCAGCATCATTTGGATTTAAGAAGATAACTATATTGTAGTCTTTGAGTGCATCTTCTTTTTCCCCTCTTTCATCAAATAGATTTCCTAATTATTTGACTAGATGCCATACCTCGGTTATAATATGCAGCAGCGTATTTTGGATTTTATTTGATGGCCTTGTTGTAATCTTGGAGGGCTTTTTCTATTTCGCCTTGTTCTCCGTATATAACTCCTACCTATAAAATTAGATGATATACCTCGGTTCATATAAGCAGTTGCGTAATTTGGATTTAATTAGATGGCTTCGTTGTAGTCTTGGAGTGCTTTTTCTTTTTCTCCTTGTTCACCAAATAATACTCCTAATTTTTTAACAAAATGGCATACCTCGGTTATAATATGCAGTAGCAAAATTTGGATTTAATTTGATGGCTGTGTGGTAGTCTTAGAGAGCTTTTTCTTTTTCTCCTTGTTGTTTATATAAAACACCTTTTCTAGAACTAGATTATTTACCTCGATTTTAATAAGCAGTAGCATAATTTGGATTTAATTTGATGGCCATGTTGTAATCTTAGAATGCTTTTTCTTTTTCTCCTTGCTGTTTATATAAAACACCTTATATAAAACTAGATGATATACCTCGGTTTTAATAAGCAGTATCATAATTTGGATTTAATTTTATGGCCATATTAAAGTCTTAGAGTGCTTTTTCTATTTCTCCTTGTTCACCATATAAAACTCCTGACTATAAAAATAAATGATATACCTCTATTATAATATGCAGTAGCATAATTTAGATTTAATTATATTGCCTTATCGAAGTCTTGGAGTGCCTATACTTTTTCTCCTTGTTGTTTAAATATTAATCCTAATTATATAACCAGATGATATACCTCGAGTATAATACGCAATATCATAATTTGGATTTAATTTGATTGCCATGTTGTAGTCTTGGAGAGCTTTGTCTTTTTCTCCTTTTTTATCAAAAAGATTTCCTAATTATATATCTTGATGATATACCTCGGTTTTAATATGCAGAAGCGTAAGTTGGATTTAATTTGATGGCGATGTCGAAGTCTGTGAGCGCGTTTTCAATTTATCCTTGTTCACCAAATAAAACACCTAATTTTTAAATTTGATAATATACCTCGGTTTTAATATGCAGTAGCGTAATTTGGATTTAATTTGATGGCCATATCGAAGTCTTTGAGTGCGTTTTCAATTTCTCCTTGTTCACCATATAAAACTCCTAATTTTAAAACTCGATAATATACCTCTGTTTTAATAGGCAGTAGCATAGTTCGGATTTAATCTTATAACATTTTTGAAGTCTTGTAGTGCTTTTTATTTTTCTCCAAGTTCACAAAATAAAACTCCTAACTATAATTCCGGGAGATATACCTCGGTTATAATACCCAATAGCATATTGTGGATTTAATCTGATCGCCTAGTTGTAGTCTTGGAGTGCTTTTTTGGTTTCTCCTAGTTGTTTAAATAAAACTCCTAATTATATAGCTAGATGATCAACCTCGGTTGATATATGCATCAGCATAATTTCTATTTAGTTTGATGGCAGTGTTATAGTCTTTGAGTGCTTTTTCTTTTTCTCCTTGTTGTTTAAATAAAACTCCTAATTATGTAACCAAATGATATACCTCGATTTATATATGCATCAATATAATTTGAATCAAATTTGATGGCCATGTTGAAGTCTTCGAGCGCTTTTTATTTTTCTCCTTTTTATTTAAATACCACTCCTAATTATAAACCTATGTAATATACCTCGGTTGTAATATGCAGTTGCATAATTTGGATTTAATTTGATCGCCAAGTTATAGTCGTGGAGTGCTTTTTCTTTTTCTCCTTGTTGTTTAAATAATACTCCTAATTATGTAACCAAATGATATACCTCGATTTATATATGCATCAATATAATTTGAATCAAATTTGATGGCCATGTTGAAGTCTTCGAGCGCTTTTTCTTTTTCTCCTTTTTATTTAAATACCACTCCTAATTATAAACCTATGTAATATACCTCGATTGTAATATGCGGTAGCATCATTTGGATTTAATTTAATGGCTGTGTTGAAGTTTTGGAGTGCTTTATCTTTTTGACCTTAATCATCTAATAGATTTCCTAATTATATAATTATATGATATACCTAGATTATTAAACGCATCAGCATCATTAGGATTTAATTTGATGGCCATATTGTAGTCTTGGAGTGCTTTTTCATGTTCTCCTAGTTGTTTAAATAAAATTCCTAATTAAATAACTAGTTGATATACCTCGGTTGATATACGCATTAGTATTATTTTCATTTAGTTTGATGACAGTGTTGTAGTCTTGGATTGCTTTATCCTTTTCTCCTTGTTCACCAAATAAAACTCCTACATATAAAACTAGTTGGTATACCTCGGTTATAATACGCAATATCATAATTTGGATTTAATTTGATTGCCATGTTGTAGTCTTTTAGTGCTTTTTCTTTTTCTCCTTTTTCACAAAATAATATTCCTACCTATAAAACTAGATGATATACCTCGGTTATAATATGCAATAGCAGACTTTGGATTTAATATGATGGCCTTGTTATAGTCTTGGAGTGCTTTTTCATTTTCTCCTTGTTGTTTAAATAAAACTCCTAATTATATTTATCTAGATGATATACCTCGGTTCAGACACTCATCTGCATTTACTGTATCCATTATTTATTATTACATTTTCTATTAATTTTTATTTTATATATCATCATAAACATCACCCCGTTCATTATTATAATATTTTCTTTCATAATCAAAATTAATAGTTCAAGTATTTAACAGTATTTATGGAAACACAGAAAACCTTCAATAGTCCCTAATTTAGGT